TGAAAACATGCAGTAATACTCTAGTTATGTACCATTCACAGTCACATCTCAAAATCATGTTTTATGGAAAATTATTACATGATATTTCAAGGACCAAATAGATGTTTAATAAGATATGCAATCTTAGTCATGCAGTTTATATGTTGTTGATTAATTCAGAATAGCAGTAGACTAATAGTATCACCATAGTTTTAGTTTTTTCTACATATAACTATTGGTTTTGAAAAATTAACTCTGTCCATATGTGATCTGATAGATTTTAAAAGCCAATTTATTATAAAGTAAATTTACCATAAATGTAGACAATAGTGGCAAAGAACTTTTATAAATTCATATTTTGCTTTCCTGTTTAAATGTCAGTTTAGTCTCTAGTTTTAGGTCCACACAGTAACAAGCAAACAGATCAGTTCATTTCTAAAGATTATATTTGTGTGCTCTTTTAAAAATCCCTCTGAATCATAGCCTGTGGATGTTCTTATGCAGCTTGAGCCACCTCCATCTGTTTGTCATGCAGACAAAAAGCAAGAGCTATACATCATCACATTCTTAAAAAAAAAAAGACATGATAAGACAAGGAAAAGTAGATTTTTATCTTCTTGGCACATCTGCATTTCAGAAATCTCTATTCAACAAAGTCCTTGTTAAAGGCAGATCTTCATGCAATCTGCATTCTGGTCTTCTATTATCTTCTTTCATCTCTTCATGCTCAACTTCTTTCCCCTGTTCCTAGTTGAGAGCTGCAGGCTTTTAATTGTAGAAACTACAAACAGACCTTAATGTTGGTGTATGATGTCATTCACAGAACTGATGTCAAATGTACTTTCCAATTCAGGTCTTGGGACTTTCCCAAGTTCACCAGAAGGCAGTGTACAAAGAATGACAAAAAGTAGCTTACTATGTCAAGAGAACATTGAGAAGCAATTGAGTTCTCAGCTCTCAGATTTCATTCAAAAGAAATGGAGAAAGTAAATACTCCTTTCTGTCATTTGGGTTTTCCTTTCCTTTTAAAGACTTTTCATTTGGGAGAATGTGTCGTACCAAAGTACCAAACTATAATTTTATAAAAGTCAATTTAATTAACAGTTATTGCAAAGGGAAGCACTAATTTAGTTGAAAAGGGGATTTAAATCGACTGTGGGCAATGCCAGACAGAAGAAGGATATGAGCAATGACCTATACATAGAATATGTTTGATTAACAGTGAGATATCAAACTTATCCTGGTGGTCTGAATATTATATGGGGAGCATTGCCAGATACAAGGGGAAGATCCCCAATGGTAGAATGGTAACCCGAGAGTTTTATACTTAGTTGAGAAGAAAAGAGACATCCTATCAAAATAATATAATTTTAGTGAATAGGATTATTAGATAAGATACACAGGAATAAAGACAGATATACTGTAGTGGAAAATATTAGGTGGTCTGCACTATTGTAGCTAATGGTTCCATGGATATGACATTGGGTATTTGCAATAGGAAAAGAAAGATTGTGATAGAGCTTGGAGATATTTTGGAGATGTCAAACATTGGCCAGTAGAAAGAAAAAGGAAAGAAATTAAATTTCCAATTTCAGGAAAAGGTGAATTTAATTTTGTACCAATTTGGTATGCTATCAGAAGAAGAAGGTATTCACTTTGTGACTTTTGTACTTGAATGGGTGAGTTAACTAATGAATGTTAGCTTAACAAAAATTTAGGATATTTGCACCTGGAGATGTGTGTGCAGTTTTGAATATGTCATTTAGAAGAAGGTACTCATAATCTGGAATGTGTCATAGATCAGGTGACAATAAGCAAAACTCTGCTTTGTATATGAAAAACTATAATTCCTTTTCCCAGCACAACAAAGCCCTGGGAAGTAAGCATAGCCACAATATATAAATATTCAAATGAACACAATATAAATACGACACCTAAGCTATATTAAAATAGTATAGTTGTAATCTAGCATAAAATCTAAATTCAGTTTTTTTCTAATTGTCCCAATAATGTTCTTTATAGATTTTTCCCCCTTTTTACCTCCTGAGGATTCAAAGATAAAGACAGTGTAACATTTACACAAGAAAACCAGTTTCTAGTCATTAGATACATATATGATCCAAAGAAGTGTGACTTTACTCTTAAGAAAGCTTATAAGATTTGTAGTGTCTTAATAGAGAGCGACCCAAGAAATCATCCTGCTCCTTGCTGCTTCACATGGATCTCACCTGGAGACGTGTGTTCAGTTACAGATAGTTCATTCTGAGCCATTACTGATCATCTGGAGTGTGTTCAGAACAAAAGGACCATGGTGATGTGGGATACAGAGCCCCTCAGGTGCACATAATGATTCTGGAGATCTTTTAAAAGGGTGAAGCAAAGGCTAGGGAATGAAAAAAATCTGGTCTTTAAATATTTGAATACTATTGTAGTTTGAAATCTGCCCCACCCCTCCCTGCCGCCATATAAATGATGAAGTCCCAACTTGATTAGCTCAGAAGATGACCTGATTTGAAAATGGGGTCATTATAGATATAATTTTTGAAGATGAAGTCATATAGGGTGAGCCTTTCCAGCCGATGGTTATTATTCTAAGATGGCCATGTGATGACAGAAACACAGGATGACCCACACCTGATGATCCGAGCAGAGACTTCATTTAGGCAGCTGCCCAAAATGTCAAAATCACCCAAGTAACCAGAAAACCTTAAGAATCTGGGGAGAGGCAAAGACAGATTTCCCTGCAGATTTTGGAGGGAGCATAGACCTGCTAATACCTTGGTATCTGATTTATGATCTCCAAAACTGTGAGACAAAAAATTTTTCTTGCTTTAAGATGCTCAGTTTTTGAAGTAGCCCTAGAAGAGGAATGCAGGTACAAGTTTAATAATTAAGTAAAGTTTATTCCTTGGGTTCTAAGAAAGAATTAAAAATGAGTAAGCAGAAATAAAAGAGAAGCAGGTTTCAACTCAACAAGAAAAAGAACTTGTATGTAAGTATGTAAGAAGGACTGGGAATGTGGCTCAATGGTTGAGTGACCCTGAGTTCAGTCCCCAGCATCTGCCTCCCAAAAAGGAGTATGTAAGGATGACCAAGTTGGGGGGGATGAGATTTAAATAGAAGCTCTCGTGCATATAGTTGTTTTTTTTTTTTAAGTTAGGTTATTCTTGTTTCTCATGTTGAAAAGAATGCTTATAGTATTCACTTCATGGTGCTATTGCTGTTAAACTAGTTAATAATTTAAAGTACCTTATACAGGCATGGCATGCAATAAGTACTAAAGGAGTGTTTGTGGAACATAGACTTCCTTTAATGTTGATTAGATGCTGTGCATTAACAGTCTTCCCATCTCTGCTTTTCCTCATCTCCAAAATATGAAGAGTTGAAAGTCAAACCAGAACTAATTGCATTTTTCAAGGCCTATGTCCTTTTCTAGATCCAAGTTTCCATGATTTAGGCCATATGTTGAACAAATATCAGAAATATGATTTTTTTTTGCCAATTTTCTCCTTACAAACTGTGACAATGTGTTTGTCAGTTGCCTAGGGTTTGTGTGTTTCAAGTGTTTATGAGAAATAAATCATGCTACAGCATCATTTTAAAATAATAAAGTATCATTTACCCAGTTAAGGCTCACCTGAGTTTCACGGTATTACTGTGCAGGTGTTAGAGAAAGAGGTGAAATATTCAAAATGAAATCATCAGAAATCTAAGTAGTTTATTAAACTGACATCAACTCGTAGCTGATGGCCAATTTCAGCCTTAGAATCTGATAAAAGCATATCCTACCATATAAGACTCTTAATAAATGGCACATGATAATCAAAAAGAAAATCTTACTCCGTAATGTAAGTTTAACAAAATGTACTTTTATTTCTACCCTCTATAAGGTTACTAATCACTGTATCATTTGGGTGCATGGGTGACATCTCTGACAGGTTAATAATACCCCAGACACAATCACAGCTACTTTCAGTAAAGCAAACCCATCAATAGACAGGGACACCTATATAATTTTGGAGCCAGTGATTTTGTAAACTTTGCACACACCAGACAAGCGGAAGACCAAGAAGAGGGGAACTGGATGTTCTTTTAGGAAAGAGCAACTGAATGAGATAGCACAGCTTTTAAACTGGGGATGTTCTACAAGGCAATGAGGGAGGCCCGCTGTGAGAGTACTGAAAAACAGGTTTGATTTGAGGTTGATGTTTGGAGACCATCAAGAATAAAAAGGAGGGAGGATAGAGTTTCCAAAAGTTATATGTGCTTTGTTACAGCTCCCTCATTTTCGTGAAAGAAGGCAGCCTGTGTGGTGAAAAAGCCAGCTTTTCACTTGGAACTAAATCCCAGTCGTAACTGTAGTTTTCTATTTCACGAGCCATGTGTTCTTAGACAAGTCTCATGAATTCCCTGTGTCTCAGTTACCTCACATTTGCATGTGGGTGACGTCTTCCCTTAAGATTGTTGTGAGGATTAAACAACTTAAGTATATGAGCAGTCCAGCTCAGTATTTGGCAATAGTAGGGGCTGAATAATTGTTGGCTCTTGACTTTTAAAGATAAGACTTTTTCTCTGTTAAAAGTTCCAAATGCAGTTTAACAGATTTGGGTAAAGATCATGGATGTTGCAAACCGTAACAGTTGGTTGAAAACCACTGGCTGCTAATTCATCTTAACTATCAAATATTTTTTGAGGCCCTTCTGCATTGCTGAGTGCTGGCAAAATAGAGGCTAAATAGAAGATTATTCTTTAAGTTCTGATAGCTGCAACTCAAAATCCAGTGGTAAAAAACACAGCCTTATGATTGATCAAAAATTATGTAGCAAGGCAAATGAACAGATTTTTGAGCATGTAACTCAGCATCCACACAGATTGACTAGTTCAGTTTAAAACAGTACAGGTTTCATGACCTTGCCTTTTCAATGTAGGGACTTTAAGAAGTGTTAGCCAGATAGACAGAATTTCCCTATCGACCCCTGCTTCTTTTGCTTGCTTACTGTTCCCTTTCCTTCTTACATTAGTTTGTGTGGCCGTGTGGAAGAACCACCACATGAGGACAGTGACCAACTACTTCATCGTCAACCTCTCTCTGGCTGACGTGCTGGTGACCATCACCTGCCTTCCGGCCACACTGGTTGTCGATATCACAGAGACCTGGTTCTTCGGACAGTCCCTCTGTAAAGTGATCCCTTACTTACAGGTAATTTTTTATTACATATATTTTCAATTCAAACACAGACACTACCAAAAAAAATATATTTTCAATAGTAGCTAGCTATGGCCTTGGGTAAACTAATGAGTAGAGAAAGAATTATACTTTGCTGGGAACTGGCAGACTTAAGGAAGATAATACTTGAGATTTTCTGGAAAAACAAGTTAAGGTCTGAGTACAAAATAGAGACATAAAGCTGTTAAATTATCTTTATAGTGTTACACAAGTATTTGACTTCTTTGATTTCTAATCTCACCATTGTTAAATAAGAAATTTGAAAAATTAATGATTGAGTTTTTTCCAGTACAAATAATAGGATATCTGTTTTTACAATGGTTTCTTTTCATGTGGAGGAATTAAGAGCCGTGGGGTCAAGCACTACAGTGAACAAGTTTTGGTGTTGTTCTGGGGCTACCTGGTTTGGAAATTGTTTTGCTTTTCACAAATGGCATGCTATCAAGTCAAATACTCAGACTGTTTGCAATTCACTTATTTTACAAGGATGAAATCTTTAATGAGATATATCTCATATGTTGTTGTGACAGTTTGCTTAGATAATTTACATAAATGCCTTCGCAAAGTGATTACCCTCTGATGATCTTGTAAACATAATATGTTCTCAATAAACCTCAGTTATCAACATTGTTATTGCATGTTTTATTAGTCAACAGTAAGGACAGGTTTTCTATATTTAATTGCCATATAAGATCTTAAAAACAAATACTTTGAGTAATCTTCTAATTCTTCTTGTAGTTCTGAGACCTTTGGGGAAAAAATTTCCCATGATAGTGGCCACAGCCACACTATTTAGACATAGATTCCCTTTTAGAAACTGGACAGTAAGTGAAATGGTGGCTATTCAACCTGTCTTCCATAGTCTTCCTCCACCTTTTGTCTTATTCTCTCCAGTTTTCCAGGCGGGGATAATAATATTTGCAGGAAGAGAAAATAGGCTTCTGGTAACAGAAAGTTGGGGAGACCACAAATAGCTCATTACTGGAAATTATATTGTTTGGTCTTTTAGAACTGAAATGTTATAAGGGATTTTCAGCTCAATAGTTCTTCAGTGACTGCTTATAAAGAGAAGTGATAATTTTTAAGGTCAGACATCATTTGCAGACTAATGGAAAATGCCCTACAACTTGTAAGCATCATGCACATATGTTTAACTGTAAGGTTAGTTTGGGTCAGCCTGCTGCAAACTATGAACAGATTATAAAAAATGAACTGTAGCAAAGTTTTTGCAAGAGATAGTAAAAGGAACAACAGACAAATGAGTACCTCTGACACTATTTGCATGGAGGCACTGGGGAAATTCTAAGGAGCAAAGAATTCCAATATTCAACTGCCTGTGGTACTTCCAGAAAACTTTTATTATTTTTGGAGCCAATAACCATCAGGAGGAAATGATGGGGCTCTTGTAATTTTCAGAATGGCTCTAGTTACCCAGATTCTTCAGCTGACTAAGAGTGTCTTTGTGTCTTCTCTGTGAACCAGAAGCTTTAGTGGGGAATGGAGTGATGAGGAGGGGTGCATCACTTTATAGCAGGTGCAGCCCTATTCTGATGCATAACAATACCCTGCTATGGAGCAGGTATTTCAGATGTCCTATAAGCACTAAAGGACAAACAGGGGGAGCAGCAAGGAACCAGTAAGTGATGCAAGCAGGCATCTCTCCTGAATTCACTGACAGTGGTCATCCATACCTCGTGCTTAACTGCAAGTCCTGCAGTTAAAAGAGCATCCTCAGTTCTACTTCTGTATAAACAGGGTCCAGTTAGTTGATTCCACAGTTGATTCTCTTCTCTACAAGCCATGGAGGAAACAAATGAGTAGCCACAGAATGGAAATGACTCCGTCTCTCCATTCACTCATTCAACATCACTTCTTAGCATACAAAGAGTTTCATGCACTGACAAAACTTATGTCTGAATTCTCAATATTTATTGCTTCCTTTCCATAGAAGTTTTCCAAATGTCACAAATAGTGCCAATGGATAATAAGCCTTGAGTAGTTTTCCCCTAGATGTGATATTCTGAAGCTAATGAATTTTATCTCTGAGGTGATATTTGTGTCCTATTTAATATTTAAAAACATTACATAACTTCCAGCCACGTTTTAAGGTTATTTTGTTCCACTTAAGATTTGTAGGGCATTTACTAATTCTCTATGATTTATACGTTCTTTTTCTTCTAAATACAATACAACCTTTAGATTTATGAGTGATGTACTATAACACTTTGGCAAAGACTCAAACAACTTAATAATCTCACAAATGTAATAAAGCTTAACTGAATAATTAAAATGACCCTTTTAGATTTTAATAATTCTATAATTCCAAGACCATTAACATTTAGTAGAATATTGACTGAAAATAATCATGCATTTCACTCAATGACAGGAACAGATGATTATTTTTCAGAGTGAATTTATTTTTAAAAAAACACTATATAATGGGCTCTGCATAGGAACTGCCAGAAAAAGAACAAAATCCAAGTGAGATGTAGGTGGTACATGTAGGGTGGTAAGACAGGCTTTCTTACTCCTTCAGTTGTTATATTTTACTACCTTCTAATCTATTAGTGCCTATCATCCAAATTTATGATTTGGCAAGATTTCTATTCCTACCTGTCGTGGACCTTTGAGATTCTTTTGGCATACCTTTAGGCTAGCATAAAAAAAGGATCCTTTTCTACCAAAGGAAGTCCTCAAGCATTGCCCCCTGCATTGGTGCCTCTAGGATGAGTGACACCAAGAACCTGAAGGCAGAACCTGCTCCCATCATCTCACATTCAACAACATTCATAATTCATACTAGACTCATTTCTCAAATGACTTACTATCAGGATGACACAAGCTAATATCAGCATATAAATGAAAAAGGCACCCAGAAGCAAACTCCTAGAAGTGAAAAGCAGCAACAAAGCTCTCATTTATAATCACTTAAGGTAAGATGAAATTTTATATCCCCTCAAGAAAATCTTGTAAATTGGATGTTAATTGCATATTGGTGTGCCTTATACACCTGCAAATATGGATGTAGCAAGAGTGAATATTAAACCACTGATTGTCAAGGGTGCATTCAATGGATTCTGCTGTGAAGATCACACCAGCATATTCTCTCCCTTCACTATACAAAACAGATGGCGCTGCACCCTGGGTACCTCTTTGGCACTGGACATCAGTCTTTCAAGTTAGCTGGTATGGATTTATTATTAGTATATAATAGTAGTGGTAAATACTAGAAATGACATTCAAGTTTGAAGTATGCTACTTCTATCTCATTCATCCAGGTTGATTAAAATTCATGAATAATAAATTACTAAGCCTTGATGAACACTTTACACTTCTAATTGCTAGAGAGGATAAATATAGCCCTGACCCAGTAGATACGAAAATAAAATCAACTGCAGATCAAGACTGCCATAGTGGATTTCCTGGGTTAGCCATGGAATCAAGAGATTCTAAGTACTTGATTCATTTTTAATAGGTCAAGGGAGGAGTGGAATTTAGAGGGGAGAGAGAGAGAGAGAGAGAGAGAGCGGGAGAGAGAGAGAGAGAGAGAGAGTTTTAATTGAAGGCACTCTAACATAGCACAAAAAATTCTCAAGAATCATAAGCCTGTCACTTATGTGATGGTCTGGAGCTCATATTTTTATCTCAACTAACTCTCTCTACAATTCTATTTTGTGTGCTATTATCATCCACATTTTATAGAGGAGAAAACTGAGGAATAAAGAGGTTGAGTAACTTACCCAATACTACCAGATGTGCTTTTTGCCTAGGAAACCTAGTTTTAGAATTGATCCAATTACAACCTTCTGTCTCTCCCAAAGAGATTCAAAAGAATCAGAGTTGATAGAAATCTCATCTTGCTGATTTTTTTTCCATTTAACAGATGTACACATACACACATAGCCCAAAGTGTAAAATATTGTGTGACTCAATATTATGTAGTCCACTGGTGGAAGAGTAAGAATAGACCAGTCACCCTAACAGTTAACCCAAAGCCTTTTCTTCTCTTCTGCACTGAATCTTAGCCCCCTTTCATTTATTTATACCTGTAGTAAATGCATTAACAATGAGCATCCTTATGTATGAAGCAATTATACCTATCCTTGCTGCAGACTATGCGATCAATACAATTAAGACAGAAAAGAAGAGGAAAATGATTGGATAATATCTATTACTTTACATTGAGGCTTTTCACTATTAATTGAGTAAAAATATTGTTAATTACATAAAGCACTTTAAATGCTGTGCTAGGTTTTCAGGACAGAGTTGTGGAAAAAAAATAATTCTTTCTGCCATAGGGTTTTGTTGAAATGGAGCATACACACAAATGAACAAATTAAATAAGTAATCCATCATATGACTAGTACTAAGAAGAAAATAAGAAGGACCCTCTATTTTTAAGGGTGAATTTTGAGACTAATATCAGGATCAATGTTTCATTCAGTATAGAAGAATCCATTAAACATATTACATTTTGTGTGGAAATAAGATTAAATGCTTATTATTTCCTTAAAGCTCCAAGACAAAGGATCATTTGTGGTGGTAGTATTTAGAAATCTGGACTGCTGGACTGGGTGAACCTAATCTGATTGTTAAGAGGCAAGTTGTTTATGCTAACAGTAAGCAAACTGTGGTAAGGAGATCCATATATAGAATTCTCTAGTCACATGACCCATGCCTTTATTTGGATGCAACATATTAGATATCAAAGTACAAATATCCTTTATTATTTGAAAATATGAAATGAGGTACCCAGAATTCAAGTATGAAAATTGAATATAATTTCAATCAAATCCTTACATGATGATTTAAAGGAAAGACATGTTGTGTTCTTGTCTTTAAGTGAAAGAGAATTTTCCAGTTCTTATCATTCATATATGTTTTATTTCTGCCTATCCAAGGATATGATTTCCTCTGTCAATGGCTAAGTGGGAAAACAGAATCATGATAGTAATCGTCATAGTAATGTTAGTAACAGACTTCTATTTTTTTTCTTCTTTTTTACATAACTTTCCTTAAATATAAATCACTTGCATGAATTGCTTTTTGGCAATCTTGGTTGTGCTACCTTTGTAATATGGTAAATATGCTATAAGCAATGCTTTTGACACTTGATGCTTCTCCTGTACTTTGTTCTCTTCCTCTAGACTGTGTCTGTGTCTGTGTCTGTCCTAACACTGAGCTGCATTGCCTTGGATCGATGGTATGCAATCTGTCACCCTTTGATGTTCAAGAGCACAGCCAAGCGGGCCCGGAATAGCATCGTCATCATCTGGATTGTATCCTGCATCATAATGATTCCTCAGGCCATCGTCATGGAGTGCAGTACCATGCTCCCCGGCTTAGCTAATAAAACCACTCTATTTACAGTATGTGATGAGCGCTGGGGAGGTAAGCACATTATGGCCCATGAGCTGACATTAACATTACACCTGAAAACCAAAAATAGTCATTATAAAGCTGGGCTTATATATCTCACTGGTATTTGTTAATTTGGTTTTGCAAAAGTGTGAAAACCAAGTTGAAACCCAAAACAATTTTACAGAATAATTCCACCTTAGTCCTTTGAAAATGTTATATGCTCTATTTTCCAGTGTCCAAATTTTTCAGAAAGGAAATGAAAGAAGAAGCTTATTCTATAGTCCAAATTTTGTTATTTCATTTTTCTTAAATTCTATTAAAAAGCAGTCAAATAATACAAATAAAAAATATATTCTAGAATAATTAGCATCTTCTAAGATGGTCGAACCTCATGTTGTCTCAAGTTTCAAATCCTCTGATGAACCTCAAATGCAACCGCTGTCTATTTTAAAACCACATCCTGGAAATATGTCCTTGGAACACGACCAGAGGTGACTATGTGGACTTGTATTTTCTGAGTGGTATTATTCCAATTTGCTTTCTCTCTTCTCAACACATCAGTTGATGAGTTTTATCATTGGAATAAATGTTATCTGATCAAGGAGTTATGTTAATTAGGAATCATTTCTGTTTTTCCATCTGACATGTACAATAGCAAAATTTAAATAAGCAGAAGTGCTCCTTTGGTTCAAAACTAGTAAAAATGGGAACATTTTTGTCTATACCTGGTGCTGGCACAATCCTAGATATAACAAACAATGATAGAAAGTAATCCTGCATTTCACATAGCATACAGCAGTAACAAAACTATCACATAAAGGAAGAAAATAATGCGATTTCTTTTGGATAAGTATATTGCCTGTCTCATATTTATGCAACTTAAACATAGTAGAGTGCTTGTTTGTGAGAAAAAGGCACAGTTATGCTTATTAGAAAGATGGGTTAAAAGACAGTGTACCCCAAGGATTGTTTATAGATATGTTGTTTTCAAATGTTTGAATATTTGAATTTCTGATAATTCTGACTTTGGTGCTTTTTTTGAACACAAAAGGGGAAAAATCAGTAATTGAGAAATATGCTTTCATTATATCAATATAAAATTAAAAAGACACTGGGATTATCTTATATTGTCATAAGACTTGCCAAAAACAGCAATTTCATCCAAATTTTATTACCCCAAATATTAAGTAATCTTTTTTAAAATGTAGATTTACACTTCCTTTATAAAATCAGAATTGGTTTGCCATATTTATTTTCTGGATTATCTTCAATCTTACAATTTTTTCCTTTAATAATATAGACCAAAAAATGAATGGAAAGTTCCAATATTGTAGGCGTATTTTATAAATGTCTTGTGTCCCACTTATTTAATGTTCAAACAACATTATGAATATTTAGAGTGTGCCATGAATTTTGCTAGCCTGAAGAGAAATAGACTCTCCCTAATTGAGCATATTCATTATAGTGAGGCTGAAAAGCAAATAAACAAATATTTATAGTGTGATCACTATATTAATCTAATATAGTCAAAGTGTTATGAACACAAATGAGAGAACAAACTTAGTCCTAGCCATTTGGACAAAAGTTTACAGAGGAGTTATGAACATTTCAGCAAAGCATTAAAAATAAGAGGGAATTCTGGAAGAGAAAAAGGGTGTACCAGGAACTAGAAAACCCACCTAATGGGAACCCACCTAATGGGAATTTATCACTTCTGGAACACAGAACAGATAGGCTAAAAAATAAAATTTGAAAAAAGGTATGTTGAGGACAGATTGTGACATTGTGTTTCTTATACAGTTCCTTAACAATATTTGAAAAACAGCTTAAAGTTTGTTGCTCAGAATCTTTTAGGTAATGTATGACTAAATTGAGTGCTAGAGAGATAAAACTATTTGTTCAAGATTATAAAATCACATCTGCATGTAAATCTAAAGCTTCCAACTCAAAATCTGGTATCCTTGAAGATTATGAAGATTATAAATTATGATAAAATACTCAGTTATTATTCAACATGTGTCAGGAGTATCTTCTCTATTTTGGTATTAGTTTCATTACATATTTATGGACTATCACATAAAGTTCTTATGTATTCCTAAGTAATGAAGGAGCATTAATTCCTACTAACAAAAAAAAAAGTTATAAAGCTATGAATCCTGTCCATTATTGTTATTGTTATCAATTTACTATTGATATGACAAAATAGGCACATTATTTTTTCTTGCTTTTAAGCAATAAACATAAATACAAAAAGTTCATTTCTCCCTCTGTATTATATTACCTAACTCTTGCGTGGATATTTTCTTTCATAAAAGACATTATTGAATATCTAAAAATATATACTCAGTCTTCAGAGTCACTTAAAAAACTATTTGAAATTTATTTTTAAAGAGTCCAACATTTATTTAAAATGCTTATAAAGGTGAAAATTAAGTGATATTAAATTTAGTTGAACATCCACAATATTGAACTCACTTAATGCTGTAAATTAGCTTTTTAAATATTTAATGTAGTTGCTAATCACTTAATGTTTTTAGAGGAATACAAAATAATTCCAACCAGGTTCTAATCTTATTGTTCTATAGATACATCATTTATTTAAATGATTTTATATTCCATGAGTCCTTTCAAGTAGAATATTTATAGTTCCATGTTCAAGTTAATATGTTAAAATTTGGGATATGTCTGATAGTCAAAACCTAAAAACACCATAGGAAAGTACACTTTATAATGTCACTTTTCTAAATTCAAGTATTTCTAAACGCCCAATACATTTGAACTCAATTTTAAAACTTTTGCTGTAAAATACACTATCTTATTTGAGATTAATTCACAATCTATTTTTTTCTTGTCTTTCTGCTAAATTCAACAAATAATACAATTATAAAAGTAAACAGTGATATTTAATTTTCCTACAACCAATATCACAGTGGAGAAAAAGTCAGAAAAACCATGTGGCCAGTTGATTTATCTCTATCAAATTTCTTCTGAGAAAGTCCAGCAAATCCTGTTTTACATGTGGTAAAAAATAACTTGGAATCATGTCTCAATGGAAATATTATACAGAACATATAACTGTTATGAATAAATGATTTCTGAAACAAATAATAGTCATCATGCTAATATTTTGTTTGTTTGCTTTTTAAAAATTGACTGTAAACCACATATTCTGATACACACATGTATACTTAAGTAAATATGAAGTATATTCATACTACTGATTTTAAGGATCTTGGTAAATAGCTCTTCTCTTTGTGTTCACTGCTCCACTGACATCAACTCATACTCCTAAGGTTTAAAAAAATTGTTTCAGAATTATATTCCTACTTTCTTGAAGGCTTGGTTTGTAAATTCATGGTTCCACATGATAAAAATTTATGGAGAAGGAAGTTATTTCTTTTTGCACAGTCAGAAAAATAATCACTTCACTACTCATTTAGCAAATCTTTAATGAACATGTACTGTTAGTCAAACATGGTTCTGAACACTAGGGATTGATGAATAGCTCTTCTCTTGAATATTACAAGTTATTCTTTGATGGTCTGAAAAAAATAGTGGCACTCTTCTATAAGAGTAGCTTATTATTAGGCTTTCAAAGCATTTAAATATGTACATGTGTGTATTAATTGAAACATTTATTAAAAACATTTGTTAGAGGATAAGATAATAAAGCATATTAAAGATTCAGGTACATTAAATGGACCCATGAGCTTTGAAACAATGGTCAAATTTAATAATATGACAGGAATCTTTAATCTCTGATTTCAAAGATGGCTTTAAGAACTTCATTTGTTCCTTATTTGTTAGATATGTATATGTGTGTATAAACATATATGAAACATACCTACCTAAGCAAAAAATTTATTTAGATTGTAGATGCCACCAAGTGAATAGAGACAAAGATTTTTTAATGGTTGTCCATCTTTGAAATGCTGGTTTCTAATTAAAATAGTCCTCCAGGGAAACACATTTTATACAGCTCTACTATAGGTTATATACAAGTGTCATAATGTTTAGAAGACATTGCTTATCATTTTATACAGCTCCATTCTAGGTTATATATAAGTGTCATATAATGTTTAAAAGACATTACTTTATCTACTGCAGAAAGGTTTCAGAGATATTTTCAATGTACAATTTAAATTTTCAGTGGCATATGTGGGTTTCCTATTGGCCTGTACTCTCAGCACAAAATGAGGAATTTAAGACTATCATGTTTCCCCAATTATCTATTATAATCTCCTTATTAAAACAATCTATCCTTGCTGGAAATATAATTTTGCTTGATCAACTGATCTCCATTTCAGTGTTCATTATCATAATATGCATTTACTAGCCAATTACATAATTTTCCAACTATTCATAAGTACACTAAGTTGCAAAATAAGGTTTTGCACTCATCTGTTCAAAACCCAAAACTGTTATCACAGATATTTTTAAAAAGTTAGCTATAAAATCTACTTTCCTTCCCTCAGTCAATTTAGTCTAATGCAGACATCAGGGCTTCACAGGTAAGTAAGCTTCAAAGATAATTTTTTTTTGTTTTCTAATGTGGAAAGCTCATGTGACACTTTCTTCAAAACAAATAAAAGTTCAAAGCCACTTAGGTGCCTGAAAAGTGCTGAGGTCACCTTCCAATTCCTTTGAAATTGGCCCACCAAATGCATCTCAGGCTGTAGCACTTCAAAGGGAAATACTATTTGTTATTCCTCCAGTCAGGCTGCTTGAATTCTATCACTTTTTATGTCACTGGCCAGTTTTACAGGATAAACTTGAAAGGAAGTTAGAAACTGATGAGGTAGGTGAGTGCCTTTTGAGCCAGATAGAGCTAAAAATGACAGCTCAAATTGGTCTCTTAGACCTCCTAGCAGCACATGCATCCTGCTGTTCCTTCAGAAGATTACAGTGAAGAAAAAACAGAGAAATAAGATAGTTTTAGAAGAGAGAATACAGAGAATATTCGACTCAAGTTCAACCAACTCAGGACAACAAACTATGGAATAGAGAATGTGGAGAATATTAAATGCATAGTAAGGTTTAAAATATTTTCAGTAAGGATAAAATGGATGATTGCCAAATAAATGTTATCCATTATTATGGTCATCATCAGACTTAATGTTGGAAAATCCTGACAATAAATTTCCCTTATCAGAATTTTGGTCACATAATTAATCTTTCATCATTCATATCCTTTCTGAAGTAATAAAGAGAATATTTCATGGAGGGGATAGCACTACCTCTCTGTAATAGTATGGAACTAACCCTTTTGCCGATATCAAGGTCAAAATAAGGCATGTGGTTTTAGAAGGAAATGATAATAACTTTGTTTTGTTAGCATCCACTTACAATTTTATTGAGGTTTTAGGTTTAATATGAATTTATCTGTGTAATATATACTGTTTTATTTTACATTACAGTTATAGTAGGTATATCTGTGATATATCCAAATACTAGCGTAGGGAAAACATTTTCTATAGCATTTAAAAAGTCAGTGAGTGATAGGGCAGAGTGCTTGTGCAGAATGTGCATGTCCTTCATTTGATCCCCAGCACCACAAAACAACAACAAAATAAAAGGTCAGTGATAGAAGTATTTTAGAAATGGTATAATGTTAACAGTAAGCCACAATGCCATTAAGTAACTAATTAATCAACTCTTCAGTGAAATGTCTAATTAGTAATAAACATCATTGGTGTATTTAGATTAAGGATAAATTTTTAAAATCACTACAAGCCTAAAGGAACTTATTCCTAAAATGTGAGATGGTTATAATAAAGAAAAATCCCATGCTGGATTAAAAATTAACTTTAAAAAGCTCTAAACTTCTCATTTTCATTGAAAGTGCATGCATATATTCTTCTACACACACACACACACACACACACAGAGATGTTCTGTTTTAAGAGAAGTTTTGTATGTGTTACAGTAAGTAAACAAAAAAATCATCAAATGTTTATTGTATTTATTTTTCCAAAAATTTTAGACATTTCATTCAAGACAATGGGAAACAACCTCCCAATTTCCCAGGGAATTTATATTCTAGTGAGAAGGAATCAATTGAGCTTATATTCTCTTCCCACTTTATCCAAAGATATCCTTATTAGGCTTTGACCAAGTCAAGTCCCTTTTTGTAAATGGAAACATAACAACCCCAATTAATGTTTAGCACTTAGTGAAATAAAGGCCTTTCAATAAAGGAATATTTGATTTTGGATAGATTATGGTAGCACAAATTAGGAATGGCTAATAAGTACATAAAGTGAAATCACAACTTCACATTTGGTATATGTATACATGTATATGTATAAACATACACTGAGTAAATTTAAGTAAATATTGTCAATTATTTTTATATCTATATGTAATATGCTAATGAAACCATAAAAAGACTAAAGCAGACTCTGAAGGAAAAATGTTGAGAGAATTATCTTAAAAATTCATCAATTTTAACATAAGATTTTATTATTTTAACTTTCATCCCAGGAGAAATTTACCCCAAGATGTATCACATCTGTTTCTTTCTTGTGACATACATGGCACCCCTGTGTCTTATGGTGTTGGCTTATCTGCAAATATTCCGGAAACTCTGGTGCCGACAGGTATGTAATGCCAAATAATTTGCATGTGTTTTCTTTAGGAAGTGCTTAAAATTTAAGAATGCATTGTGCCGCATACCATGCTCAGCAAAGGATCATTTGTTCAAAAATAATGAGGCTTTAGCCATGGAAGTATATGTCTTGACGTTTTTTTAGAGTGATATTTAGGGAATATTTTAAGTCTTGTCTTAAGGAATTTAAATTTATGGCCAAAATTTAACTTCAGTAACTTCAGTGATTGGGTTGATTTTGTTTGGAATAACGTTATTAATTTTGTTCTTTTGAGAAGAAGCAAATAAAAATTTCTTTAAATTTTCCTGAGACTATATCTAGAAGGTAATATTTTAGAATAAGATTTACATTTTAACTAATGGGTTAAATCTCCAACTTCAGAGATCTCATTTTTAGAAGGGTAGAAGAATCAGGTCTCATTTAGATTTTTAAAAACTTTAATAATTCCCAGTTGAGTTATTGCAATCTGTTAGATAATTCCACTGTGTCAGCAAAGGCTTGTATTGCTTCACTCAATTATTCACTCACCAAACATTCATCACGGATCTTTGTCACACTTGTCTTGCAAGAAGCTAAAAGTTTCTTTTATGTCACTGAGTAACACATTGGAAGGGGCAGAGTCAGATGCAGGTTGAAAATCACCTTAATTATATAAGTACAGGGAAACAGAATAAGACATAGTGAAGGGGTATGGAATCCAAGGCCTACAGCATGTAAGTATTGAAGTGTTAAGTTGATGATTTGAATGAAATCACTAACACATACCTGCAGTGGTTTATAAAGGCACAGAAAAAGATTATGGGTCAGCCTTCTATATTTTGTAAGTTGTATCTTAAAATGACACACTTCTTAAAGATGTATTTTTTAAATGTATTTTTGTCCTTATTTAAAATTATTGTCATTATATTGAGTTTATCAGGTTAGTGAAAAGCCATGCTGTTGTTTGGTTTTCTTTGACATATTTTACTGAACTGAAAGAACTTATCAGGACCAACTTAATTTGTTAAAAAGATTTCACAAACCTATTATTTGGTCTTTGGGATTGGGTCTTTATTCATGTCTAATTTGACTCTCATTATTCAAAGCATTTTTTTAAAGATTATATATACTAATTGGAAAAGAGCAATACTTGCATCTTCCAAATATATTGTATGATTTCCAAGTTTTCTTTTTCTCAATTTTTTGCTAAGAAGCCATTTCTTTTATGACCTTTAAGTGCAACCAATAGCAAAGTTTATTAGCACTCCATTCCCCAACCTTTTAAACTAAAAAATCCCAAAATGTGAACCATTGTAAAACATGAGTGGTGATTTTCTTGATCCCAGTGAGTTTCCTCAACTCACTGGGATCAAGAAAATTTTCCACCTACCCATGAAGCCAAGGCCACATATTTTATGGTGTTTTGTTAATGTAGCATCCCACTTCCTGGGACATATAATTGTGTTGGTAAGTTTTCAGTGATTATTGTGCTATAAAAAGGTGGATGTGGTTTGCAGCAACAGTTCTGTGTCACTCGTGTTTCATGTCAGTACTGGGGATTTGCCATGGCTGTACTCCCATTTGAGTAAACAGTGCTTCCTTAGACATGGCATGCTGGGGCTGAGAGAAGGAGCAGAAAGCTGGAAGAAATGAAAATTTCTGCCATGAGGTGGCATATGTTATGCCTCCTTACTTTTCAATAGCCAAGATTTGTCGTATGTATAATCTTGACCATGAAGAAGAGAAGCATTCCTTACTAAAGACACAGAAGGTCACAGGGCTATGGGGATCTTTTTGCAAGCTGAGGGGTGGAAAATCTGGAATACTATAGTATAAAGAAGTAAAAATGACAGACCCAAAGGCCAGACAACATGAATTCTACACCTTGACAATGTCACTTAGTAGTTACATAATCTTGTCAATGGCTTAAATTTTTTTGTGCCTCACTTTCATCTTTAGAATGGGGTTGTATAGCATCCACCTCACAGATTGGTTACATACTTTAGACTAATTAAGGACCTAAAGCATAGAGACTGCTCATTAAATAAAATACCTTAATAGTATATGCTGTTATTTGGCTTTTCAACCAATTCTGCTTATATTTCCAAAATAATGTGTTGAATTGTTGAATAGGACTGCCTTTTTTAAATGAACTTCTTTCATAGCACTTGTAAATTACCTTAGATTGACTCTTTTACTGTATTAAATTAAGATAATACACTATAGCCTTCATGTTTGTATCACTACAATTAACAATGCTCAATATATATCTATTGCTCAGTAAATGCTAAAAAAATGAGAAGATATGAGAAAGTATTTAGGGTTTAAGTGAAGGGGGACGTGGAAGAATACATTGCCCAGTTAACTCAGAGATGTTTTTAGAAAACCTAGAAAAAATTACTGTGGAAGAAAAAATATTCAGTGAGCACAGAGTAATGAAGATATTTTTATTTAGATTGAGATGCTAAAACTGTTCAGTGTTAAGTGCATCCCCTTCCACATTTTTACTCATTAGTGCATTATACATAATAGAAACTCATATTTTCTTATTTATTTATAAATTAACATTCATTTAAAACACCTTAAGGGTGGTACATAGACCTGCCTTATTACCATTGTATCCCCATTCCTTATGTGATGCCTCACATAGAAAGTTTTCCAAAACCATTTTTGAATAAATGAATGACTACCAAACCCCAAACAATTTATGTCTTCATAACTTAATTAAGCTTATAGTTCAAAATTGCCTGAACTCTAAAATACTTCAAAATTGTATTAGAGGTTCAGAAATAATCCACATTCTTGTTGATGAACTGTCCTGGTTAGTGTGAACCACATGATTCAGAAGATTGCAGTAAAATGCCTGGGCTGTGAAAGTAAAAACATTTACAAAACAGATTGGAATGGAAAATGGCAAATTCAGCTGAGCTCACTTTAGCAGCCACAATAAAGTAAATTAACCTCAAATGGATAATTATGTAGAATTCTGCTTGAGCAACTCTCAATTTCCAACTGCTAGTGTCTATAAACAGAGTTGTAAGGCATTATGTGTGCCATAGGCTACATCAAGTGAGCCATCAAATGAAGGCCTGTCCTATTTGTTTAAAATTACGGAGATGGAGGGAATCTGTTATATACTTTTGAATTGGTAAGCATAAGATTATTAGTAAGTGAACTGTGTGCCCTTGTTCAACTTTCTCAAGAACTTTAAGCCTCATTAAAAGAATTAGCTATTGCTTTGCTGAAATCAATTACTTACTTTTTTTTTTTTTGACAATATGACTTAGAAAACTCAACAGACTGTTCTCTAAAATCTTCTGTTTAAGAACTTGTTAACTGGGGCTGGGGATGTGGCTCAAGCGGTAGCGCGCCCACCAGACGTGCGTGCGGCCGGGGTTAGATCCTCAGCACCACATACAAAGATGCTGTGCCCGCCGAAAATTTTTTAAAAAATAATTTCTCTCTCTCTCTCCCTCCCTCCCGCCCTTCCTCCCTTCCTCCCTCCCTCTCTCTCTCTCTCTCTCTCTCTCTCTCTCTCTCTC